CTCCTCCTGGTCGTCCTCCTCCTCCTGCTCGTCCTCCTCCTCCTCCTGCTCGTCCTTCTTCTCCTGCTCCTCCTGCTCCTCGTCCTGCTCCTGCTCGTCCTCGTCCTCCTGGTCTTGCTCGTCCTCCTCCTCGTCGTGCTCTTGCCCCTGCTGAAAATGTGGCCCAGGAATGGGAGTTCTGGGAAGTCGAAGAGCACGAAGTTGCCTACAGTTGGCTACGGGCATTCAAAATGTGGCCCGGGAATGGAGTTCTGGGAACTCGAAGAGCACGAAGTGGCCTACAGTTGGCTCCGGGCATTCAAAATGTGGCCCGGGAATGGAGTTCTGGGAACTCGAAGAGCACGAAGTGGCCTACAGTTGGCTCCGGGCATTCAAAATGTGGCCCGGGAATGGAGTTCTGGGGACTCGAAGACCACGAAGTGGCCTACAGTTGGCTCCGGGCATTCAAAATGTGGCCCGGGAATGGAGTTCTGGGAAGTCGAAGAGCACGAAGTGGCCTACAGTTGGCTCCGGGCATTCAGAATGTGGCCCGGGAATGGAGTTCTGGGAAGTCGAAGAGCACGAAGTGTGTGACTGTTGGCTTAAAATGAGTTCTGCGGCACCCTGTCCGGCACCCGCCCAGACCCCCCTGTGGAGTGATCTGTGAGCTCTTTTGAGTCAACTAGAAACCTATCAGTCTTCGCTGTTAGGTAAAAAACCTACAAAAACAAAACGGACGTTCAATTATCCCGGCAAAGCAACCTAACAGCGATGTGTAGGAGCATATCTGGAAGCATTCCCCTTAAGATTCGGATGAGAATCCAGTTGTAGAATTCTGCTGTTCTCGCAGTCGTAGTCGCATTCGCGATGACAGTCGCAGTGGCAACGGCAGTCGCAGTCACAGCCTCAGCCTCAGCCTGCCTCAGCCTCAGCCTCAGCCTGCCTCAGCCTCAGCCTGCCTCAGCCTCAGCCTCAGCCTGCTTCAGCCTCAGCCTCAGTCTGCCTTCAGCCTCGGCCTCAGCCTCAGCCTGCCTCAGCCTCAGCCTGCCTCAGCCTCAGCCTCAGCCTCAGCCTGCCTCAGCCTCCTCAGCCTCAGCCTGCCTCAGCCTCAGCCTGCTTCAGCCTCAGCCTCAGTCTGCCTTCAGCCTCGGCCTCAGCCTCAGCCTGCCTCAGCCTCAGCCTGCATCAGCCTCAGCCTCAGCCTCAGCCTGCCTCAGCATCAGCCTGCCTCAGCCTCAGCCTCAGCCTCAGCCTCAGCTCAGCCTCAGCCTGCTTCAGCCTCAGCCTCAGTCTGCCTTCAACCTCGGCCTCCGCCTCAGCCTGCCTCAGCCTCAGCCTGCATCAGCCTCAGCCTCAGCCTCAGCCTGCCTCAGCCTCAGCCTGCCTCAGCATCAGCCTGCCTCAGCCTCAGCCTCAGCCTCAGCCTCAGCCAGCCTCAGCCTCAGCCTGCCTCAGTCCTCAGCCTGGCCTCAGCCTCAGCCTCAGCCTGCAGCCTCAGCCTCAGCCTCAGCCTGCCTTCAGCCTCAGCCTGCTTCAGCCTCAGCCTCAGTCTGCCTTCAGCCTCGGCCTCAGCCTCAGCCTGCCTCAGCCTCAGCCTGCATCAGCCTCAGCCTCAGCCTCAGCCTGCCTGCAGCATCAGCATCAGCCTGCCTCAGCCTCAGCCTCAGCCTGCCTCAGCCTCAGCCTCAGCCTGCTTCAGCCTCAGCCTCAGTCTGCCTTCAGCCTCGGCCTCAGCCTCAGCCTGCCTCAGCCTCAGCCTGCATCAGCCTCAGCCTCAGCCTCAGCCTGCCTCAGCATCAGCCTGCCTCAGCATCAGCCTGCCTCAGCCTCAGCCTCAGCCTGCTTCAGCCTCAGCCTCAGCCTCTGCCTTCAGCCTCGGCCTCAGCCTCAGCCTGCCTCAGCCTCAGCCTGCCTCAGCCTCAGCCTCAGCCTGCCTCAGCCTCAGCCTCAGCCTGCTCAGCCTCAGCCTCAGCCTCAGCCTTCAGCCTCAGCCTCAGCCTGCCTCAGCCTCAGCCTCAGCCTCAGCCTCAGCCTCAGCTGCCTTCAGCCTTGGCCTCAGCCTCAGCCTGCCTCAGCCTCAGCCTGCATCAGCCTCAGCCTCAGCCTCAGCCTGCCTCAGCATCAGCCTGCCTCAGCCTCAGCCTCAGCCTGCCTCAGCCTCAGCCTGCTTCAGCCTCAGCCTCAGTCTGCCTTCAGCCTCGGCCTCAGCCTCAGCCTGCCTCAGCCTCAGCCTGCCTCAGCCTCAGCATCAGCCTGCCTCAGCATTCAAAATGTGGCCCGGGAATGGAGTTCTGGGAACTCGAAGAACACGAAGTGGCCTACAGTTGGCTCCGGGCATTCAAAATGTGCCCAGGAATGGAGTTCTGGGAACTCGAAGACCACGAAGTGGCCTACAGTTGGCTCCGGGCATCCAAAATGTGGCCCGGGAATGGAGTTCTGGGAACTCGAAGAGCACGAAGTGGCCTACAGTTGGCTCCGGGCATCCAAAATGTGGCCCGGGAATGGAGTTCTGGGAACTCGAAGAGCACGAAGTGGCCTACAGTTGGCTCCGGGCATCCAAAATGTGGCCCGGGAATGGAGTTCTGGGAAGTCGAAGAGCACGAAGTGGCCTACAGTTGGCTCCGGGCATTCAGAATGTGGCCCGGGAATGGAGTTCTGGGAGGTCGAAGAGCACGAAGTGTGTGACTGTTTGCTTAAAACGAGTTCTGCGGCACCCTGTCCGGCACCCGCCCAGACCCCCCTGTGGAGTCATTTGCTGCTCTCTTTTGAGTCAACTAGAAACCTATCAGTCTTCGCTGTTAGGTAACAAAAGCGTGCGCGCGCGCTCTTGCGTCGTCGTCGTCGTCGTCGTCGCCGTCCTCCCTCCTCCCGCGTCGTCGTCGTCGTCGCCTACGTCGTCCTCTGTCTTTCCTTGTGTTCGTCCTCGTCGTCCTCTTTGGCGTCGTGGTCGTTTCCGTCGTCGTTGTCGCCGTGGTCGTCCTTCCTCCTCCTCCTCCTCGTCGTCGTCGTCCGTCGTCGGCGTCTCGTCGTCGTCCCTCCTATTTCGTCGCCGTCGTCGTTGTCGTCGTCGTCTTCCCTCCTCCCTCATCGTTGTCGTCGTCGGCGTCGCCGTCCTCCCTCCTTCTTCGTCGTTCGCGTCGTCGCCGTCCTCCCTCCTCCCTCGTCGTTGTCGTCGTTGTCGCCGTCGTCGTGCTCCCTCCTCGCTCGTCGTCGTCGTCGTCTTCGTTGGCGACGTCGTCGCTGTCGTCGGCGTCGGCGTCGGCGTCGGCGTCGGCGCCGTCGTCATCGTCGTCGACGTCGGCGTCGTCGTCGTCGCCGCCGTCGTCGTCGTCGTCATCGTTGTCGTCGTCGCCGGCGTCGTCGACGTCGTCGTCGGCGTCGTTGTCGTCGGCGTCGTCATCGTCGTCGTTGTCGTCGTCGTCGGCGTCGGCGTCGTCGTCGTCGGTGTCGTCGTCGTCGTCGTCGGTGTCGTCGTCGTCGTCGTCGTCGTCGTCGTTGTCGTCGTCGAAGTCGTCGGAGACGTCGTCGGTGTCGTCGTAGTCGTCGTCGGCGTTGTCGTCGTCGTCGTCGGCGCCGGTGTCGTTGCCAAGTGGCATGTGGAACCTACCGTCACGGTCTTAAGAGGCTTTGCAAACCAAGTTGCGGGTGGGTGGCTGGGATGTTTACCAGAGCATGAGATGTGTCACATCATGGGTAAAAATCAATTGCACCACATAGATTGCACCACGTCGATTGTACCACTCAGATTGCGCCACATTGATTGCGCCATACCTATTCCTCTTCCTATATTTTTATAAGCCCGGGCGGGGGGGGAAACCATCCCCCCCCCCGCCCCCCCAGAACCGGACTCCCTGGATCTGGGGCTTTGGGACCCTCCGGAAGGGCCTCGAAGCGGCCCCCCTGGCCTCGCAGGGCGTTTTGCCAAGCCTTCCCAGCACACCTAGAGCGATCAGGGGGGTCATCGGAGACGTCTCAGAGACCCCCATGACAGCGCAAGAGCCCTCCAAGAGTGACCGACGTGACCTCAAGATGGCCCAAGAGGCCTCCAGGACGGCCCCAAAGAGGCCTCCAAGAACACCCCCAAGAGGCAAAAATTATTGATTTTCTGATCGTGTCTGGTGAATTTTGGGGTTCTCCTCTTTTCGGCTTCGCGACGCTCCAAGACGGCGGTCTTCTGGGCGTCCGAAGCCGCCTGGGCGGCTCCAAACTCGCCCCACAACCATCCGAAAGGGCTTCCAGGCAGTCCAAGAGAGCCCCAAAACGGCACAACACGGGTCCAAGGTGGCCCTCAGAGAGCCCCATGGCGGCCCAAGATGGCCCCAAGACACCCTCCGAAACATTCCAAATCGTGACCCGGTCGTTCAGGGAGACCGTGGTTGGAGGCAGGGTGGCCCGAGGAAGCCCCCAGAGGCCCCCAGAATACGCCCAGGAGGCCTCCAGAAGGCCTCAAGAAAGCCTGAAACCATTGTTTTTAGGCCCCCAGAGACTCTCCCAGGACGAGCCTCCGCAAAGAAAAGCTGAGGAGGATAGGGAGAATGCGCAGGGTATGGCGAACATGAGGAAAAAGAAGCATGGAGGAAGGATAACGAATAACATTATCATAGCTGCGATGCCGGAAAAGGCAACAAGGAGTTATCGCTAAATCGTCGGCTTGACTTTCCTGCTATTCCGCCTGCATACCAAACTTCAAGGACCAAGGTGCATGGCGCGAAGCGCCACTGCAGTCTTGTATGTGTATATATATGTATATAGATAGATAGATAGATAGATAGATAGATAGATAGATAGATAGAGCAACCTATATTGCACACCATCCGACGATGTGGTTTTTCAGTGCGTGCCCCCAGAAGTCCAGACCCCTAAATCGAGGGCAGTGCTGCGTCCCGGATCCATACCCGATGGCCCTGGGGCCTGACAGCGGCCCCCGAGGGCCGAAAGCGAAGAAGAAACGCCACTCGAAACGCATACCGTCGGAGCTCCGGGTCGGCGTCGTCGCCGCCACGCGAGCGCCGCGCCCGCAGCTCCGGGGCCTCGCGGCGTGGAACGCGGCCCTCGCGGCGCTGCAGCTGCCCGCCCTCCTCGCGCTCCTCACGGCCGCCGCGGGACCCTCCGGTTTTTCCTCGCGCTGTCGCGGCCCATGTCGGGCGATTGCGGCCCGATGCCTGCATGGCGCCGTTGTGAATTTCAACGCCGCCGATCCGATTCGATTCGATTCGATTCCTAGTTCGGGCGATCCGATGCGGCCCGATGCTTGCATGGCGCCGCTGTGGATCCCAGTGCCGCCTATCCGATTCGATTCCGATTTCCGCGTCGATGCAGGACATTGCAATGCACATGCCGATTCGATCCGATTTGCTTAGTCGATGCCGACTGATCCTGCCCGTCTTCGCCCCGCTGGAATTTCTGTGGTCCAAGACCTTCTACGCCTCCTAGACGAAGTCCGAGTAGATGGGGTCCGAGGGTCGCGCCACATCGCCAATGCATCGACGATGCAGCTCGATTTGGAACCCGTGTTTCGCCACGCCGACGTCGCCGATGCATCGCCGACGTCGCCGATGCATCGCCGATACGTCGGCGGTGCATTGGCGATACGGCGCGATCCTTCGACCCCACCTACTCGAACCCCATCTGGGAGGCATGCAGACCTCCTCTCGGAGGAGGAAGAGTACCCATACCGATGCCCTCACCTTCCCTCGAGTTCGCTTTCGGGGTCTCCTGCGAGGCCCTCGTCGTCACGGCCGGATGCGCCTCGAGACTCTGGTCAGAACGCACTCCGGGAGGGGTCCGGGGAGTGGCCGCAGCAGTGTCTGTTGGTTTCGCATCTTCGCGCTGCAGGAAAACAGAGAAACAACAAAAAACGGCACTCCACGGAGGGCGTTCCGCACTCTTCGACCCCCGGGGGGCCCTCACTGGGCCTTGGGACTGTCAACAAACGATTCGGGGTGGAAACCTTCCAGGTGGCCCACGTTCCAGGAAGATCACGGCGCCGAAGGGTCTGGGGCGGGCGCGGACGTCGGCACGAAGAGGTCGAGAGGGCGAGGCTCGAGAGGGCTCTGAGCGCTGGCGCAGCAAGGCATGGCATGGCATGGCGACGCGTGGGGTCGCATAGAATGGCGCCGCATCGCGTAGCATCGGGTAGGCTAAAGTAGCAGAGATTGCCATGCATATGTATCATAGCAGTGCATGCCACGGCGTAGCATTGTATTGCGCATCATGTCATAGCTTTATTTCCACGGTGCACATCGTAGCATTGTGTGACATCGCACAGCGTAGTACAGCATGCCATTCAACATAAGAACATAGTATGTAGCGCCATTACATGTCATAGCATCCCGTATTTTTGTATTGTGTACGACCTCCAATCAACATGGCAGAAAGTAAGCGCGCATAGGGCCGCATTGGGTACCTTAGCAAATCATCGCGCGGCTGGATTGCATAGCAGCCATATTGCTTAGCATAGCGCAACGTGCCGTGAAATTGCATAGCAGTGCATAGCACAGCGCTCCATCACAGCAGTGAACAGGGTCGCACAGCTCAGCATAGTATAGCGAATCACCGCATCCCATGGCATAGCAGTGCACATCATGACATGGTTTAGCATGGCGCGGCACCGCAGACCCAGCTGCGAGTCAACGACCAGGGCACGAGGAGGGGCGAGGGAAGACAGCGCCTTCACAGAACAGATAAGACCCCTTGAGGCAAGCCTGCTTGGGCGACACGAGCATCCCCTACTCTCTCCCTCTCCTCGCCCTCCGTCCTCCTGCCCCCTCGTCCCTCAACCCTCCCTCCTATTCCCCCCTCTCCCTAGACATCCGACGACATGTTTTTCAATTCGCGCCCCCAGTCCTCCCGACAATTCCCCCGGGATCAGTCGTTTCGTCATGGGCCGATGTGTGATGGCCCCAGGGCTAATAACGGGCCCTGGAAGCCGACATCGAGGACAATTGCCGGGTTCGACAAGCATCGCATATCGTTGGAGATTTGGGCTCTCCTCCCGGAGGAGGAGGAGGAAACAATATGCTAGCGCTTGCTTCATACCTGGAACGGGAGCCCTACAGGGCATACCTCAGGGAGAGGCTGCAGGCAACAACAAGCGCATGCATGTGGACGAGTTCAAGATTCACCATGCAACGCCACCAGCCACGCGCGAGCACCACCACGACATCGACATCGACCACCACTGCGACTTCCATTAAGCATGACAGCGTCTGCCTCAAACCCAGCAGGAGCCCAAAGGGCACACTCCAAAGGAGCCCAAAGGGCACACTTCATACCCGGCAGGGGGGCCCTACGGGGCATTCTTCGCGGAGAAGCCACAGGGCAAATCAGTCATACAATCATTGTTTATTCTCCATAGTTTAAAGGATCTACTTTTCCTTACTCCATACATCTGATTCAACTTTGCAAAGGAGCCAAATGCGCTCATCCGTATGAGTTGATGACACATTCATTACATTGCAAGTTGGGATACAGTCCAGTGATAAGCGTCTTGTCTTTCCGTCTATGTATCTGACTGTTTTACACAGCACAACGTTGCCCATACAGACATACGGACCAGCACTAAACAGCAACGCCAACCTCAGTACCATTTGCCAGCACAAACAATTAGTCCAGGCTAGCAGTTCCACCACAGTTCACTACTACCATGACGTTCGTCACTTGTCACCAGCGTCGAATTTGACTACCAAATCAGGCCGCAAGTGCCTCTTCCCCGCACGGGAGCCCGTACGTGCACACCTCGGGGAGAGGTATCTAGCCCATCCTCATACCCTGCATGGGAACCCTACTGGGCATACTTCGGGGAGAAGCACATGGGCATTAAGCAACCACAGCCGATAGTATTATCACATGTCTGTTGTTCCAACCAACACTTATTCAGGCGGGACCTTTTTCAGCTTTCACTGGCTGGTATAGCACAACCAGCGTTGAGTCAGCCAGCGTACGTGGTCGGTTGTCTTCTGAATGAATGAGAATTGTCTGTAAACGGTTCTAGGATACATACACCCAGCACCACGACGCCCCAGCAGACACACAGACAGCACATACCAGCAGGTCCATGTCACCTCCATTACATATCACCACGCGACAAGACCGAACAAACAGCATCACAACAGCACCGGCACGACCTGGACACAACGATACAAGACAATAGCGACAACCTCGACGACCAGACCAGCCAACAGCGGCCGCATATCCAACAGGAAGCACATACGATCACACCTGGGGAGAGGAATCGAGCCCTGCTTCATGCCCAGCATGGGAGCCTGGGGCATACTTCGGGCAGACATGGGCACAAGTCGACCACAGTCGGCCGTTTTGCTTACAGGTTTGTCGCTCCTACACCTCCCTCTCAGCGTACCTGTCCTCATTCACGGATTTTGCACACGCAATGAAGATGTTGTTGACTATACATTTTGCTTTGCCACCATTTCGCTTTCAAACTTGCAGTAAGTAGCGTTCCTATCGAAGGTGGAGTGACTGATGGCGATTGTAAAGTACTACTCAAGCGTGTTTACGCTATGTCTTCCTCGATCGACTGCATGCTCACCAGTCCAAGTCCGAACCACTCACATCGAACAGACGCCAGCTGATTCTCAAGGACCAGAAAAAGCGTACGCTCCAACACAGAAGCATTGCATCGCAAAGAAGCACAAGTGGCACCACGACTGTACACCGCGACCCCAGACCAGGTTACAGCGGCGTCACACCCGCAAGGGAGCCATCAAGGGCACACCTCGGGGAGAGGCATATCAGCAGCACGCCGGGAACATGCACAACGCCTCATACTTGGCACGGAAGCCCACACGGGCACACTTCAGGGCAAGGCACGGATGTTTGATAACCTACGTTGTGTATTACATTGACAGAATACTATTTGTTGTTTTCTGCCCTATGGGTTTGTAATGATATTTGCTTCATTGGCATCGCATTCACAAGAAGAAGTGCGAGTCCGTGCCCCACACAGCACAGCACAGATCCCTACGACCGTGCCACCCAACACAGCACACAACGCTGCCATGGCCACCTACGGATATGAGTGAGTGACCTCCCCGCGGCGCAGTAATTACCGACATTCACTCAGCATTTGCCTGCCTCGAAGCAGGATCGCCATTTGGATCGTCATCTCTACATCGCACCTCGCGCCTACTGTTACACGCCATGCCTTACTGTGGAGCAGCCCACGCACATATGATGTGTTTGTCGCAGCACCGCTGCTCAAGATGTTCACCTTCGCACTGCTTCTAGGTGCACTCCACGTTGGGGCAACCGCCACTACGCAACGTGACCTCCATGTGCTTTTACTGTCCGGCACACGAAGATGCGTTCGTTGTCCAGGTAGATGAATGGACTTGCTCACCGCGACTCACCTGGACATCATCATTGGAGAAGTTCACGACGTGCCTTGAGAAAAGTGACGACCAACCTACACGCGGGCGCAAGCACATCCCCGAGACACTATCGCTCTTCAGCCAGTAACCAGGACAAAGTCGGGAACGACACATAACCACGACGACTCACGAACAAGTTGCACATGCCGACCAATGTACCGCTACAGCGCGCAGTTAGACCAAGCCAGCAGCACGACCCAGCAGTTGCCACCGCACACATACTGCAAGTGCAGAAAACAGACAATGCCAGGTCAACGACGGCGCTAACGTGAACAAGATGCTTGTCTACGTCACTACGCATAGGGCATAACACATACCAGTGCCCACATCGACTGGCTGGACCTGCGCAGAGCGACAGAGTAACATCGCGGCCGAGTATCTCCATGGTATCAAACACATACGTTTCTATGAGACCTGATATCAGCCCTGGTATCAATCGCACGTACTTGCAGGTGACATTCAGTCTACCTGATCTCAATGTCACCCGATGTCAATGACACCAAAGACGTCGCGAGGTGCTCCCCTAGTGGGCGAGCTGGCACAATAGTATATGCAGTCACTGGTCACGACGGCCACGCGAAATTCCATTCTACCGCCATGCACTGCACCGACGCGATTGGCTGCCATGTGCACTGGGAGACAGAATACCACGGCACACGTCATCAACGCATCATAGCTCTTACTTGGACGAGGCTGGCCAACGACATCGACGATGACCTTGCGCGACTGAGACACCGGCACTACGGCGCCGCTGGCACCGAGAAAGATTTCAGAGAGACACTCTACAAGATAAGCCACCAGCGGCATACCAAGCGCAACCAGTTTGCCATCCACGAGATCACGAACATCGACGCCATCTACCAGACCAACGAGAACAGCACCTTCACGTGCTCCATGACCAACGGCGACAACGATATATTGACCTGGCCGGAGCCACCATCACTCACCAACCCATTCGCCGACGCACAACTCACTTCAGGCGCCGCGATTTCACGCCCGCCAAGGGCCACTGCGACCAGAGACAGGACGCACAGGCACATTGCACCACCATCAACACACGACCAACCAGATTACGTAGAGCGAAGACCAGCATCACCCTACGCTTGCGCGCTGCTCGACCAGCAGACGGGCGCAATGGGAGTTTCGCCAGCACCACAATCGACGACGCCACATACCCACTACGGGCCCCTAGCACATACACCATTCAACCCCGAGTGGCCCGCCACGATCGGCGAGCTAACACCTACACCGGTGGTAAACATTATCCGCGACATCTTTGCACCTGAAGCTCCGGCTGAACACACGCCACGGCCATAACCCACCACCATGCCACATCCAACGGGGGCAATATTCAATTACAGACAACCTGCCAAGATCTGCAGTATCCCGACGAGCATCGACAGCACCCACACACGGCACAGCTTCACGCAGGAAGCCAGAGGAACGGGGACGGTGGGAGCGAACAGAGTACCAGGACATGATTCGGAAGCACAGTCCTGGACACTTACTGCCAACGCCACCAGACCAGATCGCCACGCACATCGACTTCCGCAGGCAAACACCTCCAAAGGCTCCACCAACACCACCATAACCGACGCAACCACCCAAGCTGAAGATGGTAACACTGCAGTCAACGACAGCACCGCATGTCCCAGCACGAGCGGCACCGCCACTACCGGCGCGAACCAACCCATGGAGGGCACGCCAAAACCACCCACCACCAGCGCTAATTGGCACCACGCACCTGACTACTACATCACAGAACGACGACAACCAGCAAAGCGACCAGAGAGACCACAGCGACCAGGACGACCACAGACACATTCCCGAGCCCTTCACATTGGAACCACGGCTGTCAGACCCAGGTCACGACACGCATTGCCCAGCTGGCTGGAGCACATGGGCGAGGACAGCCGGCACCGCGCAGTCTACTACGACGACGAGGACAACAACTACACATGTCGATGCCCACGCGGTCACACGTTGATGGACACGTAGAGTTCAATATCGAGCACTTCATCCGCAGTTCCTGCTCGCGCGCACTTCCGCGCCCGCCGCCTAGGCCAGACATTGCAATTACACCACTGTCGCGCTACCAATTCCCACCCACGGCCAACCGCACGTGTTGCGCAAGGAAGCCATTCACGCTGAAACGCGCCCAGCATCACCGCTCCCCAAATTAAGAGAAGCACAAGAGCAACCACTGGGGGCATCACGGGACAAGATGGCGCAATTTCACCAGCAAGACGAGGACTTCAGACTGGCAGTCACGCTCTTCAACCAGCCCTTCCACAGCAAGATAAGCACGCCCACGACTGCAGCTGACGCGCGAACTACCCAAGCCCAACTACAGTCTCGCAGCGGCGTCACCCCTGCAAGACTGGCGACTGGGCGGTTAACCTAATTACACGAGACGGCGCAAGCACCGTGGATGGAAGGAATTAGCGCGAAACCAAATCATAAGTTTGGAATACTGCCGTTCAAAAAAAAAATTATGCAGTCCAACCCGCGACAACATGGCGTTCAAAAGCCTACAATTGCGGTTTGCGTTTTTTTCTACACATTCGGCGGCGGCCGCGGATTGTGCCCAGCTGGGAACCCGCGGACTTTGAATGGCGAAATTCTAACGTTACGGATCTGTTTCGCGTTAATTGTTCCCATCCAAGCCCTTCCGGCAAGGCTGATTCGAGGGTCCCCCTCTAAATTCGATGCACAACATGTAACATGGGGCTCGCGCCCGTCAACCATTCTGGCGCGCGACCGCAGAGAGGCCGGGGCGCCGAACGCGCGCAACACCACAGGCAATATCAATGCGAAGGACGCGGCCCCGACAACAGCGCGGAACCCATGTGGTGACCTTCTCTGATCTAATTGGAATTGAGTCCAGGGGGTCCGCCGACGAATATTCAACGTTTTGATCGGCCTCGTTTTGGCGGGAAGTCCTGCGCCAGAGGTCCCAAAGGTCATTCGCGACGTTGGAAGGTCGCAACCCCATCGCACTTCGTGGCTTTCATTATCGTTTCGCCATAGCCATGCGAGGACCGAAAAAACAGAACGCCCCAGAACGTCATTCCTGGCGATCCCAGGATCGCTTCGCCATAGCCACGCTAGCACAGAAAACGGCAGAACGCCACAGAACGCCATTGCCGGCGATCTCATCGGCGTTTCGCTCGAGCCAGGCGAGAGCCACATATCGCGCATAGAATTCAGAAGGGGCCGTCGAATCAACATTGCCGGAAAGCCGTGGATGGACGAGATTCACGCGAAACCAAATCATAACGTTGGAATTCTGCCGTTCAAAGAAAATAAATGCAGTCCGGGCCACGACAACATGGTTTTCAAAAACCCGCTTTTTTGATTCGCATTTACTTCTTACATGTTCGGCGGCGGCCGCCGATCGTGCCCAGCTGGGAGACCGCGGATTTTGAATGGTGAAATTCCAACGTCGCGAATCAGTTTCGCGCCAATTATTTCCATCCGCGGCATTACGGCCCATCAATGGTTACCACGACACTTTTCGGAATTACTGCGCACCTGCGCCGACTTCGCCACGCGACGGCAGTGACCACTCCCTGCACTACGCCACCACCACAACTCCAGGATACACAACGCAAGCAGAAGAAGGACCAGACTGGGGATAGGTTACCTCCTGTACGTCAATTTCGACAAGGACAGATATTATATACATACATATTATTGACCTGTCTCTACTTCTCTCAACTCACAAGAATTACACACAATGCCCCTACTCACAACTGGATGCACCCAAGCATGTCTTCTTTCTCCTCCTTGCTTGCCCATGCCAGCGCCATCCTATTGTTCTTTATGCTCACCCGTCTAAGGACAAGGGTTCGTGTTTGACCCGAAAAGAAGTGCAACGAGCACGAGGGCCCCGCCACCGAGGAGGTCGGGTGAACCGAAAAAGCCTTGGATTGTTGCTTCAAAATTACACGGGTAACTCAATTCGGCCGGTCTTGTAGCACATAGGCCAGCCAGCAAGGCTTGCGCCGGCCTCAGTTGTCGCTCTTTGCATGGCTGTAAACACAGCGCCTCATTGTTGGACTGGGGGAGTTTTAACGATAGGGAGGGTGGTGGAGGAGGATATTCTTCCACATCGTTCATGCTGCCAGTACACTTTACCAGGCAATCTCTGACACTGCCGATTCTGCGATAGAGTCCAGAGGCGCGATTTGAAGGGGTGCGTCGGCGGGGGATGGTCGGAAGGGGCGGTGGAGTAAGTTACTCTGCCACATCTTTCACGCCTGACGGGCGCTTTACCAGGCAGTCTCTGATATTGCCGACTCTGCGATCTAGTCTACATGCGTTTTTTGAAAGGGTAGGTCGGCGGGGCTGTTATGGAGGGGATCAGGTACTGCAGATGACACACAGGCCGGCCATACCTATACGCTAGCCTCGGCAAAGCAAGTGTCTAATGCACAGCCCATCTGCCCGCATACTTACTAACCAGCTAAAGGCCGTGGCAGCTACAACCGATAGGTCTCCTTCTCTACAAAGCTTCAGCCGTCGCCAGCACTTGCGTTATCAATATTTGGCATCACGCGCCAGCTATTTCTGGGCCAGCCTCAGCAAGTTTTAATATTAAATGCCTAGCCAAGCCGCGCGCATACCTTTTACTGACGAAAGGCCAGGCTCCGTGGACTTCAGCTTTTCGGCAGGAGGCAAGTCACAAGCGTCCAGGCTTAGTGATCATTCGCTGCTCCAGGTCAAGTGTGAGAGTGCGGCGAAGGAGAACTTTCGATTTTTGTGCACAGGTTCCTCGACCCAGCTTTTTAGGGTGATGGACCCTTCTACTTGGATAGATGAGCTCCTGGGAAGATCTGGATGGGCAATCTTGTGGGTGATGCCGTGCTTGGACCTCCTGGGGACCCTGCATGTTTGCCAATTCTCCTCCTCTGCGAATCTTCAGTTGTCGCCAGCATTTGCGGTACTGATTTTTCTGATTCTACAGGAGGGTCGGAGTCGGGGTGGGTTGGATTGCGTGGCGGTGCCATCGGTTATGGATTGGGGGGAGCGAAGGGGAGCATTTCTAACATCTACGCCCATTCTGGCCTTCGGTGGGGGGCGGCTGCCCTGCTGTTGACCGCCGAGTGACAATGGCCCCCCACCACGACCATTCTCCAACTGTCACAGCGTCTACTGCTTGCCCTTCTTCTTTACCTGCAGCTAGCTGCACACGGTCAGTTTCATAGTATATCTTGATCTACTGTGGGAGTATCTAAGCTGACACCAAAATTCAGGTTCACAGCTGCCTCGCATCTCCCTGCGGCATTGACCCATAGGAGCCCACGCCGATCACGACGCAGGTAAGCAGTAATATGCACAGTATCTTGCACGCGGATCCCAATTCCTCTTAGTCCGTTTCTTGCTGTACATGTTGAGGAGGAGTTGCGGGAGGAAGGAGGGTGACTCGACCTCAATTCTAGTCTTGCAGAGCGAGCGCATATTTTGTGCCTGTCGGGCGTGCTTGTTTTGCTTGTCCATGGTGTCATTATTGATCCCGCTGCGCTCCCCCTGCTTAATTCGTATTGCACTTAGCTTAGGTCGGCCTCACTGTTTCTTCCTACCGGGAGGCAACAAGCACCGTTCTTCATGTCCGATCAACGTCAAAAAGGAGGTGGAGGAGGAGGCAGCGGAGGGAGCAGGAGGGGAGAACAAGGTGGGAGCAGGAAGCGGGGTTCGCCACCTACACCTCTGAGCGCGCCGAGACAAGGGCGAGGGAAGGTACGGGGCATGGCGGGCGGGCGAGCGGAGCACGCGCGACCCGATAGATTGGATGAGGAGGGAGGAGGAGGAGGGAAAGGAGGACGGAGGAGGGAGGAGGATCCTGCCCGTCCTCATGGCCCTCTCGCCGTAGCCATTTTCGGCGCAGGGGGGCAAAATCGGACGGGGCTAGGACGAGGAGCAATCCGATCCAGAGCGTTCCGGAACGCTTTCAGAGTTTTCGGGAACGCTCTGAAAGGACCACGGCGCCCGAGACATCCTCCAGAGCCGCCAGATCTCAGAGATCTTCGGTTTATCCTCGCCCGATTTCTTCGTCTTGGCTTCGTCTTAACAAGGCGGCGCGCGTTCAGGGCCCCTGCGCTCGCCGCCCTGAAGGTTCCCCGGGGCGGGCGCGCGGATGCGCCCAGGCGACACTCCGTCGGGGAGATGCCCGGCGCGGAGACCCAGGCTGGGCGGCTGCAACCGTGGCGACACCGAAGCTCCGACGACATGCCTTCAGGGGCAACGATAGGGGGGGGATAGGCTCTCATTCTTCTCCTCCTCCTCCTCCTCCTCCTCCTCCTCCTCCTCCCCCTCCTCCTCCTCCTCCTCCTACTCCTATCCTCATCCTCCTCCTCCTCCGCCTCCTCCTCCTCCTCCTCCTCCTCCTCCTCCACCTTCCTCCTCCTGCTCATGCTCCTTCCCCTCCTCCCCTCCTCCTCCTTCTCCTTCTCCAGCCCCCCCCCTCCTCCTCCCCTCCTCCTCCTCGCCTCCTCCTCCTCAGTCCTCACTCCTCCTCCTCCTCCCTCCTCCTCCTCCTCTCTCCTCCTCCGTTTTCGTCCTCCTCCTCCCCTCCTCCTCCTGCTCCTGCTCCTTCCCCTCCTCCCCTCATCCTCCTCCTCCTCCTCCTCCTCCTCCTCCTCCTCCTCACCTACGCCGCCTGCTCCTGCTCACTGCTCCTGCTCCCTGCTCCTTCCCCCTCCTCCTCCTCCTCCTCCTCCTCCTCCTCCTGCTCCTGCTCTATCCCGCTCCTCCTCGTCCTCCTCCTCCTCGTCCTCCCGCCTTCTCCTCCTCCTCCTCCTCCTTTCTCCTCCTCCTCCTCCTCCTCCTCCTCCTCCTTTCTCCTCCGCCTCCGCCTCCGCCTCCGCCCCCCTCCCTCCTCTCCCTCCTCCTCCTCCTCCTCCTCCTCCTCCTCCTCCTCCTCCTCCTCCTCCTCCTCCTCCTCCGCCTCCAGGGGGGGATGCATCGACTCGCAATCGCCCAATGATCGCCGATAGGTGCTCGATGGCCCCACCCCGCCCAGGAACGTGCGGATGCCCTGTCGGGGGCATATCGCCGATCTATCGGCGATGCATCGCCGATTCCAGGTCGATGTTTCCCCCCATGTTGCCAGTCCCCACCCCTCTCGTAGAAGGGGATAGGGGAGGGGGGAAGGCTTCTTAGAAGCACCCCTGCTTCTTAGCAGGCGCGCTCCCTGTGCTGGCGCCTTCTAAGAAGCAGCCTCCTTCTCTCAGAAACCGTCCCCCCTCCCCCTTACCCCCCTTGTGCGCAAGCCAAGACATGATTTTCCTTTAGCCCTGGTCGCGGGGTACTGGATTTGTTCGGTCGCGGCCGACGAGATCGGTCGGTACCAATTTTGCTTAAGATTCTGGAATGGGTCGCGGCCGATTTGCTTCAGAATCGGTCGCTATCGGCCACGAACGATGTGGAGTGCGGATGGGTCGCTACCGATCGCGACCGAAAAATATCGTACCCAATGATTTGGGAGCCCGGCGTTATCTTCCTCGATCTCGGCCTCGCGGGGCGCGACCTGTCGGGCCCCAGGACCATCAAGAACGGACTACGCGAAGGAAAAATGACCCCCGAGGGAAGCGGACCCCCCTCGTGATAAAAACTCAAGAACCGAACTGTTTGGGACGATTCTCGGCATCCGATGCCCCCGCCAGGCCCCGGGCCGACACAAGACAGCTCGAGGTGAAACACTGGTCCCAGGGAAAATCACCAGCGTGAAACATGTGCCTATCCCTGTCCCTGTGTTTGGCATCATCTTAACTCGGTGCCGATCTCAAGGACGCCCTCAGTCTGTGAGGGCTCCTCCCTAAGATTGCCATCGCCTTGGGCTTGCCGATCTCGGGGATAGGGATAAGTTCGAGGCTGTTTAGAGAGGGTCCAGACCTCTCGGGGCCAGCGTTGTGAAACAGTCACGACTTCGGGTGTTTGGGGATAGCCCAGAGGCGCAGGGCTGCCGACGATGCGACTCGATGCGGTTCGATTCGCTGGCCGGTGCCGCGATCCCGATGCGATGTTGTCTGGTTCATTGGCCAGCCAGAGCCAGGCGCGGCAGTCCGATTTCGATCCGATCGCTGGTTATACGATCCGATCCGATTTCGCGATTCGATCCGCAGCTCAGGCCTGGGGGGGGCGGGGGTTTGCGTGTATGCAGCGGCTTCTGCCGCACCCACGCCTTCGACGAGGCTACCCGGCGAGCACGTGTATATGCTTGCCTTTGGGCTATGCATCCTCTCGAAACCTCCGGCTTCGACCCACACATCCTCTAACATAATGTGTTCAACCCGGGCCCCAGAGCTCCCGACCCCTTCCTCTGGGGTAGTTTTCCGCCCCTGGTCCACTTCTGACGGCCCCGGAGCCCGAGAACGGGCCAGGGCCGAACTAGAGGCACAACCCAGACATCCAGCGATTCCATCTCTTCGAGACACAGGCCCCCGACCTCTCGACCACTCTCCTGGGACCGGGCTTTCATCCCGCGTCGTTGTTTGACGGCCCCGAGGCTTGGCAAGGGCCTCGAGAGGCCGAAAGCCACGAAATGCTTCCGCCCCCCGTGCTTGCAGGACGTCCGACGGTCTGGGCACGGCAGCCGGACAAAGCCGGACCGTCGAAGCCTAGGGCCCGCCCTCGCCAGGCGGGCGCCGCCCCCCCTGGCGGCGCCGCCACCCGTCCGGCGCGGCGCCGCGGGGCGACGCCCGCCGCTCCGCGGGGCGGCGGCCCCGCCGCCGCCGCCGGCAGTGTGCCGGCGAGCGCGCGCGGCAGCGCCCGCGGCTCGCCCCGGAAGGCGGAGGCTGCCAGGAGTCAGGAAGAGTTTGCTGTTCTTTAGATTCGGGCAAGTTTACTTGCATGGCGTTCGACCCCCCCCTTCTTCGCCCTTCGCCCCTCTTTAACCGAATACGAGCGCGCAGGTGCCTTTCGACTGGCGTGATTTCCACACGTCAAGTCGTTTGCGGCTTGCTTCAGGTTCAGGCCCACCCACCACCCCCCCCGTCCATGCAAGTAAACTTGCCAGAGTCTAAGAAAAAACGGGCTCGAACGAAAGAAGGACGTACTTTGGGCGTCGCGGCCCTGCGCGCAGCGACATGGCGGAGAAAGTCTTGGAGCACCAGTCGCGCGCGTGCGTCTGGTAGGAACGCCCGAGCTCTCAGACCTCAGAGACCACAGTGGGTCCCGCTGCAGCCGCCGCCATGAGCCACCCGGGCATCGATGACGGGGCGCGAGCGGCAGTAGCAATAGTGGCAGGAGCAGGCTGCGGTGCTGTGGAGGTGCCATGAGCCGTCCGGGGCTGGATGGCTGGGGGACCGAGTGAGCAGCGTGGAGCGACACGGAGACCGAGACCGACCGGAAGCCCGTACGGGCAGGGGGCCCCAGGCCTGCGTGCACGTACACGAGGCCACGGTGGCTATGACAGGTGGCGCATTGCGCGAATTTTCGTAGCACGAGGCAGTCCTTCGGCGGCGAGCGAGGGGGGGAAGAGAAGGAGAATGCCTTCTCAGAAGGCGGCGGGGCTTCACAGAAGCCCTCGCGCCTTCTGAGAAGTTTTTGTTTGTCTTCGAAGAAGGCTCAGAAAACTTCTCAGAAGGCCTTCTCCTGCTCGCTTCTCCCCTTCGCTCGCCGCCGAGTCCTCGCGGACTGGGGGGGGGGGGGGGGGGGCCGTAATCGGGTACGTGGCTGGGCGCGTGGGCTCCCGGAGGCAGGAAGCCCAGACCTCCGCCGTCTCGAGGCCATCGAGGCGGGGACTTTCTCTCAGCGTTTGCGGCCCCTCGGGGCCCTCTGTGCCGTGCCTCGGGGTTGTCAGGAAGCGACGCGGGCTGGAAAGGTGGCCCCAGGGAAGCGCTCCAGCGATCGGGGGCCCCGTGCCTCGCGAAGTATCGAGACGCCGGATGTCTGGGGAGAGGCCGCTGGCGGCGGCAGCCTGCCGGCGAGCGCACGCAGCAGCGTGCGCGGCTCGCCCAGGGAGGCGGAGGTCGCCATGGAGGAAGCCCAGACGAGCGGCGCAGAACAACGGGTTCGCTTGCGCGTGCATCAGCTGCCTGCGTAGGTCGCGCGCGAGGGCCCTCGGCTCCAATGTGTGTAGCCCTCCACGCGCGCGGCCCGCGAAAGCCGCCGCGCCGCACGCTCGCCAGGCCGCCTCGCGCAAGACCCGTTCGTCTTCGTCGCCCAGGCCCAGACCTCCTACGCCTTGAAAGGGTAAGAGCGCAGGTTGTCGTTTTGGGTCTGGGAGGCCCTCGCCGGGCCTCCTGGCACCGTCAAGAAACGATCCGTGGCGAAGGACCGGTCCCTGGGACGTGGTTCGGAGCGCCGGGAATTTCGCTCTTTCAGAAATCAATGAACCTGGCGCGAACCCAATTAGGGGGAAGTTTCCTCTTGCATGGGCGCAAAGCTTGGCATTGGTTGGCATTGAATGGCATTGTTTGGCATGAGGCACCCGGAGAACCCAGAGACTCCGAGCAACGTGCAAAGAAGCCACCCGAGACACCAGCCTTTGACCAAGTGAGAACCCTTTTTGCAAGCCGAATTGGGGAACGAAGCACCGGAGGTCTGGGAAGAGGTCCTAAGGGAAACTGGTCCTCCAGGACTTCTGCCCTCGTCGGCCCCAGCGCGGTCAAAGACCGGGCCAGGATTCTAGGCCTCCCGAGTGGGGTCCGAGCAGGTGGGGCCGAAGGATCGCGCCGCATCGCTGATGCATCGCCGATGCGGCTCGATGTGGAGCCCGATGTTCGCCACGCCGACGTCGCCGATGCGTCGCCGACGTATCATCGAGGGGCGCGATCCTACGACCCCATCTGCTCGGACCCCATTCGGGAGGCAGAGCTGGAAAGCGTCCAGGGCCCGTTTCCCTCAGGACCCGCCAATTTCCGTCATGCCATCGCAGGGCGGGCTCGGGCCCCCTGGTTCTGCGAGGGCGGCGCCCACGCTCTACCTGACCGGCCTCTTTCCCCCAGGCCTGTAATTGGGACCCATTTCGAGCCGATCGGACCGCTTCGATATCGATTCCTGCCAGGCCGATTCCCGGACCTCCGACGTCTCGAAAAAATCGAGACAGCCGTTGTTCAGTGTTTCGGGCCTCTTGGGGCCCTTACCAGGCCTCGGGACCATCAGAAACTAAATCTGGATGAAAAACCGGTATCGTTATGTTGATAACGACGCGAGCCCGTCCGGGTCCACTGCATGCCCCGAGTCGACCCTGTCTCTGCAGGTTTCCCAGATAGGGTCCGAGCAGATGGGGTCGGAGGATCGCCCCGAATCGCCGATGCATCGGCGATGCGGCTCGATGTGGAGCGCGAATAGCTCCACGCTGGAAGGCGCCGACGCATCGTAGATGCATCGGCGGTGCATCGACGATGCGGTGCGATCCTCCGACCCCATCTGCTCGGACCCCATTTCCAGAAAAACAGTTCTCGGGTTGGGAGGATGGGGCTGGGAGATATGATTAGATCATCCGAATTACCGCGTATGTCGAATGGGCTTAATAGACAGCCGTGCTCTGTGTCTTCCCAGACCCTTTTCCTCCAAGCACGATACCTGCCGTTCTCACCTTTGGGGAGGGTTCCACTGCTGACGTGTCCTGCAGGCGTGGCCTGGGCCGCGGGGCCCCACAGCGCGCGGTCGGCGTTCGGCAGGGGCACGCGCCGCCAGGCCGCGGCGGAGGCCCAGGCCGCGGAGGGGGCGGCGCGTTTCGCGCCCGCCGTGGCGACGATGAGCGACCTGCGGGCGAGGTACAGGGTGCCCCGCCGCTGCCTCGACGCCCAGCCCGCCGGCGCGCCGTGCCCCGCCAAAACCGCGAGCCGGAAGAGGTCCCCGCACGCGTGGAAGCAGGGGCACGGCCTGCGGTTCCAGGGCGGCGAGAGTTCCACAGATCCGCCACGGGCCCCGGGCGGCCTGGGCCCAGGAGAGGTGCACGCACGCACTCCTGGCTTGGCCAAGGAGGCATATAAATACGTGTGTGTAAATCTATCTATATATATATATATATATACACATATGCGTGTACGTATACGTATGTCTGCATGTATGTATGCATGCATGCATGTATGTGTATACATGTGTATATATATATATATACATATATGTGTATACATACATACATGTGTATGTATATGTAGATGTGTATGTATGGATTGGCTCTCTGACCGTCGCCGTACTAATCTAGGGGGCCCAAGAGGCTTGCAGGGTGCTTGTCGGCAGCAGTTTTGACCCCTCTTGGGTGCTGTTTTGGCGTCTCTTGGGGTCTTTTGGGGACCTCTTGGAGCGCTGGGGCTGGTTGCAGGCCTCTGTAGGGGTCCTGGGTGCCTCTCGGGGGCCGTTTTGGGCACATCTTGGGCCGTCGTGGGCGCCCTTGGGCCGTCTTGGGGCCCTCTTGGGCCGTCGTTGGGGCCTCTTGAGTGCCTCTTAGGCAGTCTTTGGGCGATTTGGGGTCGCCTTGGGCCGTCTCGGGGCGTCGGGAAGGCGAGAAATAGTTGATGCTGGAAGTGCAAGTTTTATTAAGGGAATTCGCCGATGTTGGTCTCTTGGGGCTCCCTTGGGAGGCCTCTTGGAGTGCCTTGGCGACTGTTTTGGTGTCTGTTGGAGCTTGTGTTGTGCCTCTTAGGGAGTTGGAGCCTGTTGGAGGCATCTGTGGGGGTCCTTGGTGCCTCTCGGGGGCCGGGCGCCCCTTGGGCCGTCTTGGGGCCCTCTTGGGCCGTCGTGGGGGCCTCTTGAGTGCCTCTTGGGCCGTCTTGGAGCGTCGGGAAGGCGGTAAGTTGTTGATGCTGAAAATGCACGCTTTACTTAAGGAATTCGCCGATGTGGGCCTCTTGGGGCTCCCTTGGGAGGCCTCTTGGGGTGTCTGGGGGGTTGTGTTGGCATCTCTTGGTGTCTTTTTGGGGTCTCTTGGGGAGCTGGGGCTTGTTGGAGGCATCTGTGGGGGCCCTTCGTGCCTCTCGGAGGCTTTTTGGGAACCCCCTTGTGCCGTCTTGGGCGCCTCTTGGGCCGTTTTTGGGCCCTCTTGGGCCGTCGTGGTGGCCTCTTGAGTGCCTTTTGGGCCGTCTTGGGGCGATCTGGGAGGCGTCTTGGGCCGTCTTGGAGCGTCGGGAAGGCGAGGAGTAGTTGATGCAGAACATATACGTTCTTACAAAGGAAATGTCGCGATGTTGGCCTCTTGGGGCTCGCTTTGCGAGGCCTCTTGGGGTGCCTTGGGGCGAAAAGACAGCCTCTGGGACTGTCTTGAGACCATCGTGAGCGTCTTGTAGCCCTCTTGGCCCAGCTTGGGGCCCTCTGGAAGCCATCAGGAGCCATTCTGGGCCCTCCAGGCACGCTCGGGACCGAGCGGCCCCCAGCGGGCCGAAGGTCTAGCCGGATCAGTTTCCTGTGTATAACAGGATTACTTGTAATAGTACAGCTATATATATATATATATATATATATATATGTACATACATACATACATACATACATACATACATACATACATACATACATACATACATACATACATACATACATACATATATACATACATGTCGGCGGTGCGCCGTGGCACGAACCCCCCCCCCCAGCACTATCCGGGGGTTTCGTGCACTACCGGGGAGGTTCGTGCAGCCCGCACCGGGTGCCGCCAGCGGCTTAGAACACCCCCCCCTTGCCGCTTTACCAGGGGGGTCGTGCAGGCCGCATTGGGTCCTCCCCTGTCGCTTTACCGGGGGGGGTCGTGCAGGCCGCGCTGCGTCTACCTGGGCTCCCCCCCCCCCCTGTGGGAGTGGGGGGGTGGGTTGGGGGGGACGAGCAGGAGGAGGAACTGGCATTCCTGTTGTTCGCACTGCTGGGCTCGTGGCCACAATGCGAGAGGCTGCGGCGCAACTCCCAAGAGCCGCTGTGGGGGGTCGACGGCACGGCCGCGTAGAGAAGAGCAGTGCCGCCGTGTTCCGGCACGGCCCTGGGATGCAATGCCGCCGCCGTGTTCTGGCCCGTCCTGGTAAGATTCGCGCGTCGGGGCTGGGGCTCGCGCGTGCCAGGGGCGCGCCGCTTAAGGAAGGGTTGCGTCCTTACCGGGGGGTTTCGTGCAGACTACCAGAGGAGGTCGTGTTTACCGGGGGGGTTCGTGCAGGCTCGCACCGGGAATGGCGCCAGCTCGAAACCCCCCAGGAGAGATTACCGGGGGGGGGGTCGCTCCGCACCGGGCACCGCCGACATACATACATACTTACATACATACATACATACATACATACATGCATACGACCACCCTTCGGGTGATGAGGAGGTTGTGGGGGGGAGAGGAGGGGGAACCAACATCTGACTCAGTCGATCTCATTACCGATCTCACTCAACGGGACACCACGGGACACTTACCGATCTCATTATCGATCTCATTCAACGGGACACCACGGGACACCGCGGGACACCTCTTGATCTCAGTATCGATCTCACGATCGATCTCACTCAGCGGGACACCATAGAACACCACGGGACACCTCGGGACACCACATCGATCTCAGTATCGATCTCGATCTCACTCAACGGGACACCTCGGGGCACCACAGCGATCTCAGTATCGATCTCACTATCGATATCATTCAGCGGAACACCTCGGGACACCTCGGGGCACCACAGCGATCTCAGTATCGATCTCACTATCGATCTCACTCCACGGGACACCACGGGACACCTGTCGATCTCAGTATCGATCTCACTATCGATTTCACTCAACGGGACACCACAGGACACCTCGGGGCACCACAGCGATCTCAGTATCGATCTCACGATCGATCTCACTCAACGGGACACCACGGGACACCGACGGGACACCACGCGCCACCGGCCGCCGGAGGAGTTATATTTGGTTTGGCCGCGACCCAGCCACAGGAGGATTTCCTTTCGCCCGCCCACGCAGCTTCGTTTCGCCCGCACGCACGCATTGCACGCACGACAAGAACCCGAAACCGAAATCGATTTCCTGGTAAAAGAGGTCTCCGTTTCACGTCGGACTCACCCCCCAACCTCCAATACTTATACGACGCCTTGCGGGCGATAAGGAGGTTGGGGGGGGATTGAGATCAAATGCCCACCCTGACTGACCTCCAGCCTGTCACCTTGATCTCATCTCTCTCTTTCTCTCTGTCTCTCTCTCTCTCTCTCTCTCTCTCTTTGTCTTTCTCTCACTCTCTCTCGCCCTCTCTCTCTCCCTCTCTATCAGAGTCTCCCTCCACCACATTGGTGATCGCGATGACGATGAGATCCCACTATCTACCTATCCGTCGACAGACCTATCGGTGAATCTCACTGTCGATCTCACGATCGACCTCAAAAGCAAAATCAGAAAGCCCGCCGCAGGCGCTGAAAAACGATTTGCTGTCGGACAACCACAGGACAACCATCGGCACAACCACCAGACAACCATCAGGACAATCACAAGACAACCACGAGACAACCATCGCATACTAGGTAATATCTGTCTCTCTCTCTCTCGCTCTCTCTCTCTCTCTCTCTTTGTTTCTCTCTCTCTTTCTCTCAGATGGGTTGGATAAGATAAGATGGGACAAGATGGGTTGGATAAGATAAGATGGACTGAATTGGACAAGATGGATTGGATAAGATAAGCTGGATTGGATAAGAAAGCCCGCCGCAGGCGCCGACAAAAATGGATTGATGGACTGGGTTGGGTGGATTGGATTGGATGGGATAAGATGGATTGGATAAGATAAGATGGGCTGGATTGGAAGAAATGGATTGGATTAGATAAGATGGATTGGATTGGCCCGCAACAGGCGCATAAACAAATGAATTGATGGATTGGGTTGGGAGGATTGGATTGTGTGGGATAAGATAAGATGGGACAAGATGGGTTGGATAAGATAAGATGGATTGGATTGGACACGATGGATTGGATATGATAAGCTGGATTGGCTAAGAAAGCCCGCCGCAGGCGCCGACAAAAATGAATTATGAAATTAGCGACATACGTTAGCGCCGGGACGCCCGGGACACCCGGGACACCGCCCGGCCCATTTGGGACACCTCCCGGCCACCGGCGGACGGGAAACGGTTTTCGCTCCTACTGACACCCGGGACACCCAGGACACCGCCCGGCCCAATTGGGACACCTCCCAGTCACCGGCGGACGGGAACGGACTTTCGCTCCTACTTCGGCTTAGCTACAGGAGGATCACCCGCAGTTTCGCCTCGCCCGCACGCACGACACGAACACGAAACCGAAACCGATTTCCCGGTGGGGGGTCTCCGCTTCATTGCGATCTCACCCCCCAACCTCCGAGACACACACAGACACACAAGATTTGAGGATTCGCTTCCCTTTGCCTCAATCTTGGTCTTGCGCCCATGCACTCCCAATCACCAGGTGTTGGGGAAAATTGTGCAAGCTGATGATATACAAGTGGGGGGGGGTCACGGTCATACTTCTGGTAGGGGAGAAAGGGCACCATTGTGACGGGGCCAAGGTCACGCATGCGAGGTAAGAGGGAGTGGTGACCACGAGGGGGGTTGAGGTCATGACAGTCAAGGAGCAATGCCATGAGCGTCAACGGAGTAGAAGCAGCAACGAATGATCCGCAGCTAGGACGACGAGGACGAAGAAATGGAGCGGGAGGACGAAAACGACGAGGAGGACTCGCACGACGAGACAAACGGTCTCGCAGTCGCCTGACGGAGGACAGGCCACGACGGAATGCGCCTCCGACAGCCAGTGAGCCGATGCGATGACCGCGAGGTGGGTGCAGGTCACGAGGTAGAAAAACAAGATCTGTAGGCGCGAGTGGGGACTGCGGGCATTGGGAGCAGGGTGGATGCGAGGGTCGTCGGAGAAGGGCAGGGGTCGGCGCGACGAGTGGGCGACGCTGATGACCGCGAGGGGGACGAGGGTCACCGTTCGGAGTAGGGGCGGCGAGCCCCACCGCGAGAGAGGGGCGCGCAATGAAACATGTTCGGTCATGCTCAAAGTTTCAAAGTTTGTTGCGTGCCTTTGGGGCTTCTGCGCCGTCTTAGGGTTTCTTGGAAGTTTCCGGGGGCGTTTTGGAGGCCGCGCGCGCCAAGTCCGAAACCCATCAACAGGTTTGGAAGTATCGTTGATTGGCACATCACGCGGCCCTCTTGGTCATTTCGTGGCCGGTGGAAAATGGCGATGCATAGCGCTCTCTCGGTTTGGAGGGGGCCGGGCGTTGTCTGGACGCCACCAGGAAGGGTCTCTGGCTTGAGTTGGTTTTAGGGGCCTCGGCCTTCACGGCGCCGGCTGGCCTACATTTGGCCGATGACGACGGGGCGAACATGGAAGACGACGACGAAGTAGGAGGTGGAGCAGAAGATGCGGAGCATGATGCGATTGAGAAGGACGAGCAGCAGCCGACCGGTGTGCGTTCGTTCAGGAGGTGGCCCAGGCGTTGCTTGGACGCTTTCAAGGAGGGTATCATGTTTGAGGAGGTTTGACGGGGCCCTCGGCGTTCACGGCGCCGACTGACCTACAGCTGACCGAAGCGAGTAGGGATTAGCTGTCTCGGGGGTTACAGCGGCGGACGCCCAATGAAGCGGGGACACGGACATGACCACGAGAGGGGGTCGTGGTCATGCCGCCGGGGCCATCGTGCAGCCATGGCGGCATACCCTGATTTGGATCATGAGTTCGGGGCGTCTTGGGTGCCCTTCGGGGCCTCGCGGCGCGTTTCTTCGGGATTCTGGAAGCCCTGCGTGGCTCGTGAATCGGGGGCCTCCAGAAGCCTTTCTGGGAACGCCGTGCAGGACGTAGACGCGAGACATCCCATGCGTTTGTCTTGTTGCCAAGTTTTTTGTAAGCCGTTGTTTTGAAGTTTTCGGGGAGCTCTGGGGGCCTCTAGGGCAGTTTTAATTATCTGGGGTTCTGGGGTTCTCTTGGGCCGGCTGGTGACCCCCTGGGGCCGTCCTGGGGCTGTCTTGGGCCGTCTTGGGGGTTCGGGCCCTTTTGGGGCCCCCGTGGTCCGTCCAGGAGACCTCGTATGGCCTTCTTGGGACTCCTTTGAGGCCTTTTGTGGGCCCTCAGGGGCATGTGTTGGGCCGTGTTCGGGGCTTTCTGAGGGCGGTTCTGGAACCCTCTTAGGCCGTACTGGGGACCTCTTGGCGGCCTCTTGGGCCTTATACCCTATAAAAGAAATCGTTTTCCTTGAAGGAATGCGACGATTTGTGCCTCCAAAGGGGCGCTCTGGGTGGCCGCTGGGGCCGCGTTTGGGGCTTCTGCGGCCGTCTAGAAGCCGTCTTGGGCCCTTCTGGGGCGTTTTTTTGACAATTCGGGATGAATTTTAGGACGCCGCAGGGGCCTCTTGGGCCAGCTTGGGGCTTTTGGGGCCAGTGTTGGAGGAGTTTCGGGCTGTCCGGGAGCTTGGTGACAGGCGACACGTGGCTGGGGATCCCCGTCCATACGGCATGGGGGGGCATCCGAGGGGGGGCACGCAGGATGAAAAAATATAGGAAAGAGCGTGTTCTACCGCTGCTGGCGGAAAACCGGGGGGGGTCACTACCGGTTCGAACCCCTCCCCCCCCCCCCCCTCCGGAAAACCGGGGGGGGTCACTACCGGTTCGAACCCCTCCCCCCCCCCCAGTTCATCATGAAAAGGGGGGGGGTCACTACCGGTTCGAACCCCCCCCCCCCCTCGAAAACCGAGTGGGGGTGCGGACAGTGGTGGGGACGGTGTTGGTGGGGACAGTGGTGAGGGGACAGCGGGACAGTGGTGGGGACAGTGGGACAGTGGGACAGTGGTGGGGACGGTAGTGGTGGGGACAGTGGTGGGGACAATGGTGGGAACAGGGGGGACAGTGGACAGTGGTGGGGACGGTGGTGGTGGGGACAGTGGTGGTGAGGACAGTGGGAATGAGATGGAAACAGTGGGATAGTGGAGGGTACAATGGTGGTGGGGACAGTGGTAAAGGCGGTGGCGAGGACGGCGGTGGGACAATGGGACAGAGGTACAGTGGGGACAGTGGTGGGGACAGTGGTGGGAACAGTGGGACAGCTCAGTGGGACAGCGGAGGAGTCAGTGGGACAGTGGGGACAGTGGGGATAGGCAGTGGTTGGGTTCGTGGAGACAGTGGGGAGAGTGGAACCGTGGTGGGAACAGTGGTGGGAACAGTGGGGAGTGGGACAGTAGTGGGGACGGTAGTGGTGGGGACAGTGGTGGGGACAATGGTGGGAACAGGGGGGGACAGTGGACAGTGGTGGTGACGGTGGTGGTGGGGACAGTGGTGTGGGGACAATGGGAATGAGGTGGAAACAGTGGGACAGTGGAGGGTACAATGGTGGTGGGGACAGTGGTGAAGGCGGTGGCGAGGACGGCGGTGGGACAATGGGACAGAGGTACAGTGGGGACAGTGGTGGGGACAGTGGGGACAGTGGTGGGAACAGTGGGACAGCTCAGTGGGACAGCGGAGGAGTCAGTGGGACAGTGGGGACAGTGGGGATAGTCGGGCAGTGGTTGGGGCCGTGGAGACAGTGGGGAGAGTGGAACCGTGGTGGGAACAGTTCTGGGGACAGCGGGGACAGTGCGACAGTGGTGGGGCCACTGGTGGGGACAGTAGGGGCGGTGGTGGAACCAGTGGGGACAGTGGTGGTGAGGACAGTGGTGCTGGGAACACCAGTGGGGGATGTGATGCGGACGGTGGTGGGGACCGGGAGTCGTTTGCTGGCGGTGAGTGGGGGGGGGGGGGCATCGAACCGGTAGTGACCCCCCCCGGTTTTCCGGATCCGGAGTGGGGGGGGGGGGAGGGGTTCGAACCGGTAGTGACCCCCCCCCCGGTTTTTCGAGGGGGAGGGGGGGGGGAGGGTTAGGGGGGGGGTTTTGCCGGGGGGGAAGGGGGGGGGTCCAGCAGGGGGGGGGGGGTGGGGGGATTTTTCGGAGGGGGGGGGGGGGGAGACCCCGGGCTCCGGAGGAAAAGGTTGGCAATTTTCCACAGTAAAGCGGCGGTAGATCACGCTCTCTCAAATATAGGTATACGACTGTATTCGTACATGTGTAGGTATACATAGATACATACATACATGTTTGCATACATACATACATAATGCATACATACATTCACACATGCATGAATGCATGCATGCATGCATACGTACATACATGTATACATACACAGACAGACAGACAGACAGACAGACAGGCAGGCAGGCAGGCAGACAGACAGACAGACAGACAGACACACATGCATACATATTATACATGCATACATATTATATATGCACACGTATTTGCATATGTATATACTATACGTATACATCTGCACGTATGTGTACATACACCGATGCATCAATACATACATATGCATACACATGTATATTCATTAGTACGCATGCATATATACATAAACATGCATGCATGCATGCATGCATACATACATACAAACCAACAACTACACAGACAGACAGACAGACAGGCAGGCAGGCAGACAGACAGACAGGCAAATGCACATATCAATAAACATACATGTGTATATATACACCTGCATGCAGGCATACATACATACATACATACAAACATACATACATACATACATACATACACTTGTATATGCATAAACATACACACATACACCTGCTCTCTTGGGCCCATGACGGGCCAGGCCTGGGCAGTGGACACGCAGAGGTTTTGTTGCCCTAGAGGCTCCCCCCCCTGCAGCCGGTGAAGACCACCAGCGGCAGGCAGCGCGGCCTGGTCCAGCGCCCCCAGGAGGAGCAGCCGCCGAAGGCGGAGGCACCGGGGGCGCCCGCCAGCACCCCGCTCGAGCCGGGCGGGCGGCCGCAGGGCACGCCCATCGACGGCCCCAGCGAGGCCCTGAAGCGCGCGCAGGACCTCGATTCGCACATGCCCGCGTCGCCACAAACATCACGACGGGAGGCGCGTGGCAGTTTTCGGCCTCTGGGGGCCTTTGCTGGGCTTCGGGGGCCGTCAGGAAACGACTCGGGATGTGAAGCCAGTCCCGGGGAATGTGTCTGGACCTTTGGGGGCCGACGTTGTGAGAAAATCATGACGTCGGGAGTCAGGGGACATCGAAGAAGAAATATTTGCATAACGGCACACATGTCCGATGGTCCGCGCGGATTTCTTGGAGCGGCGCTGGGCCCCCCTCCGCAGCGCCTATGGCGCCGCCCCTGGCGCGCTCTACGTGCCAGGGAGGGGGCTCCGCGCCGATCTAAGATATCCTCGCGGACCTTCGGAAGTGTCTGCTTATGCTGCTTCCCCAGACCCCCAACGTCATGAGTCTTCATGGCGTCGACCCCAAAAATCCTCGACCCATTCCCCGGGTGCTGAGAGCACTCCGTCCCGAGTTGTTCGATCCGACGGAGGTCTCTAGGTGCTTCTGGCTCCTGCAGGACACGCTCCGCGAAGCCCTGGAGCGTGCGCAGGAAGAGCGAGGCGAGGCGCGGCCGCCCTCGCAGCGTGGCGAGGCCGCGGCAGCGGACGCCCCGAGCGGCGGCCTCGGCGCTGCAGGCCCGCTGGGCGGCCTCGAGTGGGGCGCCACCAAGCCAGGCCCTGGCTTGGTGGCGCCCAGCTCGAGGCCTCCGATCCCCGGGGTCGGAGGCCTCGAGGCCTCCAGGCCTCCGACCCCTTGGGGTAGGAGGCCTTAGAGGTTGACATCAGCACAGGCATGGGCGGCGTGCCTCCACCGAGGGGAGGTGAGCCCGATCTCGGCGAAGGTGGTAACACTTGGGCTCCCCAGGTGGCCGAAGGATTACCACCAAGGCCAAAATCTAGGATGATCTTCCCCTGGGGGAAGCAGCCCCCCTGCGTTAGCGTTGGTGCCCATGTCCAAGCCTCCAAGGCGCCACCGAGAGGGACCCTTCGGCAGAGGGCGACGCCTCGCAGCTGGAACAGCCTGGGCTGCACCGGCTGGCTCGGCTGCAGCCGGTGCACCCCGGGCTCGTGGACGGCGCGCTCGAGGCCACGGCCGACCAGTACGAGGATGGTTTCGAGGACGGGGACCCTGACATGCTCGCGCCGTGGAAGAATCACGGCGTTTCTGCCTCTAGAGGCCCTCGGCTGGCTCCGGGTCCGTCAAAACATGACTCGGGACGAAAAATCGGTCCCGGGGAATGGGTCGAGACCTTTTTAGGAACCCCGTAGTGAAAACAACAGAAACGAGAGGAACACAAAAAACATCGCATGTGTGGGGATTGCGATTCCAAGCAGGACGCCGAGGACGCAGAGCCGCCCGCAGGCGCGTTACTGGCCATGGGCGCAGAGCTATCCACCTCTGCGAAGCTGAAGCCAGACCAGCACGAGGATCCGTCCTCGGACGCGGAGGACGCGTTCGAGGACGACGAGAGCGCATGCAAAAACGACGAGGGGAAGTCGGAGCCGCGGTCTGCTGGCGCGTCGACGGCCGAGGCTGCCACCGCAGCGCCCAACCGCTGCCTCGTGGAGCGCCCCCGGGGCACCGAGACGCCCGCGGGCGCGTTGCCGGCCTGGGGCGCGGAGCAGTCTGCCACGAAGGCCGACCAGCACGAGGATCCGTCGGAGGACGAGGATGCGTTCGAGGATGACGCGAACCCGTCCGTGGGCGACGAAAGTACGTCGGAGCGGAGGTCTACGGGCGGACTGCCGCCCGAGGCCGCCGACCGCCTCACGGGGCGTTCCGAGGGCACAGAGCCGCGCACGGGCGCGGAGCTGGCCTCCTTCGCGAAGCCCGACCGGCAGGACGATCCGTCCGAGGAGGTCGAGGAGAGCGCGCTCGAGAGCGCCCTGGGCGGCCGCTACAGCCACAGCGCGTACTCTTCCGCTGGTCGGCCCTCG